CAGTTGAAAATCTCTGACTTGGGCAACTGGGTGAATACAGGAACTACTTACAGAGATTGGGAGGACAGGAGGGGCAACTTTAGATGGAGATCACAGACTTGGGTTTGGTATGTTAAACAGGAAGTACCTGTGGGATATACAGGTCAAGATATCTGGAGGCATCTGGAACCTCCAGGTTGGGAGCTCAGAGATAAGGACTGAGTAAGAGATATAGATTCAAAAGTGGTGGTTGAAGCCATGAATAAGACTACCCAGGATAGTGGGAAGTATTAGAGGAGAGGCAGGCCATTGACATCCCCTAGGTAATAGCATTATTTAAGGAGAGCAGGGGAGAGGAGAGGTAGGTGCTCAGAGGAAGAAGAATCTGGGTATAGCCATTTTTTTTTCTTACAATGACTTTCATTAGAATGTTTGTCTCACCTTCCCCTCTGGATTATAAACTCTTTAAAGACAGGGACTGTGTAAACTTTAATAGGTCCCTCAAACAAGAGTACATTGATTCAGTCTGTGAATAATCAGTGAATTCCTGCCAGGATTCTGCTTTGCAGAAATCCAATGTGATCAAAGCTACTAGCAAGATGTTTTCCCCAAAAACTTACATAATTTCCCAATGGACAGTATGGCAGATTAAAAATAAGTGAATAAATAAAGGGGATCATGTATAATCCACTGATATCCATGCTAATCACATTAACCACAGTGAATTAATTATACCTGAAAACAGATGCAAAGTTAAATTCCTTAGAAAATCAATTCATTAAACTCATATTGGAATGCACAGTCAACAATCCCATGTTTAGAAACTATCAGCATGATTTGTGGCAACTTCTGATTTACTAAAGAAACTGCTTAAAATATTTTTAAAGGCAATTACAATTACTGTCTGGCATTTGATGGAAAGAAATATCGTCAGCATCGTCCCTCGTGTGTCAACTGTCACAATTTTCTAAAATTTTTGGGGCAAAAAATAGGCAGGCTCTACTATTTGCTAGGCTCAATTAGGGTTAATTCAATGTGTGTCTGCAAATAATAGTGTTTAATGTAATCTCTCTAATTACAGATAAAATGCATTTTCAGTCATGCTCATCACTGACAGTATTTTGGGATAAGTTAAACTGACAGCTGCTTTCTACAGGAAAGGAAAAAACAAACCTTGCTTGAGGTTGTGCTAATTTTCACTCTCTCTATCTTTTTTTTTTTTTGCATTGAAGTTCAGAAAAATATGAAACTAGACACTTTGGCTCTAGATAGATACCAGCTTTGGAAATCATGACATAGTCTATCTCTTGAGAATTTGGTATGTTTCCCATCTCCCACCCCCATCAATAAATATTAACTTGAATTTACTCAACAAGCATTTTCTAAGGGTTTCAGGGAACCAGGCATTATGGTAGGCCAGTGGTTCTCAACCTTCCTAATGCCGCGACTCTTTAATATAGTTCTTCATGTTGTGGTGACCCCCAACCATAAAATTATTTTCATTGCTACTTCATAACTGTAATTTTGCTACTGTTATGAATCGTCATGTAAATATCTGATATGCAGGATGTATTTTCATTGTTACAAATTGAACATAATTAAAGCATAGTGATTAATCACAAAAACAATATGTAATTATATATGTGTTTTCCTATGGTCTTAGGCGACCCCTGTGAAAGGGTCGTTCGACCCCCAAAGGGGTCGCGACCCACAGGTTGAGAACCGCTGTGCTAGGCACTTAAGAGATTGAGAAAAATGATTCTACCAAAACTGTCCTCTACAATTGGCCCCATGAGCAAGTCAAGCTTCCTACTATACTAGACATATTAGTCACAGTGACAATATAATCACAGCCCCTACAAACAGAAACTATTCAAGTTATAATATTTTCCAAAGGGTCAATGCATGTTCTTCCTCAGTCACAGCTGATTGGACCAGCCATGACCCCAGGGCACCAAATCCACAGATTGTTCAGGGATCTCACTTGGCCTGGCATGAAAAATTGAGCTGGACCGATTACATTTTCTCTCTCAGGAATAGGAATTGGAAAATACTGAATAAGGTGGTGAGTGGCAAAAGTGAAATTAGATAGTGATAAGAGAAGAACCACAAGACAGAGAGAATTACGACCATGAGGGGGCAGGCTGCATCCGGTCTATGAGGTTACGAAGAAGCAGAAAAACAGGACCTAATCCAAAGGTGAATGAATCAAGGAATTAATAAATGAACAAATAATTGTGACCTAAGATGTCTTTGAGTTTTGTTTTTTTGTTTGTTTGTTTTTTTGGTAGGCTCAAAACATGACTGATTCACACTGAGTCATTATCTTTAATACTCCTGGCACTTTAAAAAAACAACAACAAGATTATGGACATGGAAGCAGATAGACTTGGGTTCAAATTCTACCACTTACTAGCAGAGGGACTTTAGCCCCCAAACAGTTTTCTTTATGTTCTCCTTTTGGATGAGTACTAATATTTTTACAAGTTTGAAAATTTAAAAAATATATGTGCTTTGAAATTGAAAAAAAACAACCAAAAAAACAAACAAAAAAAAAAACAAAAACCTATGCTGCATATGGGCTATTTTTCTTACGTCCTTTGTATCTTAGTTGGGATTTTAGTTCAGCTTTCAATAATGGAAAAACTCTAAATAACAGTTTTTTAAACAAGGAGTTTCTTTTTCGTGAAAAGTTTAATATAAGAAATCCAAGACTTAAAAGGGTAGCTCTTCTCCACAAAACTCAGAGACCTGGATTCCTTCCAAATTATTTTTCCGCAGTTCCTAGAGGAGGTACCCTTATCTCTATAGTATAGTATAAGTAGCATTCATGTTCCAGATAGAAGATGGAGAGGGAAGAGTAAGAATAGGTGAATGACACCAGGTATTGCTTAAGATAGTTTTCTAGAACTTGGGAAAGTCTTATGTATGATCTTGAGGTGGAAATTAAGGAAAGATCCAAGTTGCACTTCTAGAAATAGGGATGATACCAGAAAGAAGTACAGCAAGACAGTTCATTAACAGAGCTAAGCAAACAGACGTGGCACCTTAAAGCCAGGGCTAATGTAAAAATTGGCAGAATTTGAAGATATCGCGAGGAGGTCTTTGGACCTCCCTATTTGTGGAATAGGGAGTTCAAAACAATCCTTCGAGATCCTAAAGAACAGAGGCCTCAGCTAATGTGGGTTACAGTATAAATCAGACATATTCCAAGACCAGGGCTATCACGAGCCATCCTAAAATGTCACCTATCATGATACTACTCTTGATTCTTCTCCAAGTTGAAATTTCTACCCACAGAGACACTTTCTGGGGCCAGACAATAATCATGTCTCTAGAAGTCTGCTGTCAGATGCCACCTGGAAGGAGAGAGGTATATAGGGCATCGTACCCAGATGACAATGTCACTTATATCCCATTGACCAGAACAGACTGCCAAGACCACCCCTGGCTGCACAGAAGTATGAGAGAAACATGTTTATCCTGAGTGGCCATGTGTGTGGCCAAATATTCTATTTCTATGTAAAAAAGGCATGGCAGCTTTTTATAAAGTTAAACCTACCCAGCGATTCCACTCCTATGTATTTACTCTAAAGAAATGAAACATGTTCGCACAAAGACTGTAGGCATCTCAGTTTTGCAAGATGAAGAGTTCTGAAGATTGGTAAACATTGGTGAATGTGTTCGACATCCCTGAACCATATACTTAAAAATGGTGAAGATGGTGTTATGTGTATCTTACCACAATTTTTAATATATTTTAAAATTTGATTTCAGAGAGGAAGAGAGAGATAGAAACATCAATGATGAGAGAGAATCATTGATTGGCTGCCACCTACACACCCCCTATTGGGAATTGAGCCTGCAAACTGGGCATGTGCCCTGACTAGGAATCGAACCATGACTTCCTGGTTCATAGGTCGACACTCAACCACTGAGCCACCGTGGCTGGACTTACCACAATTTTTAAAGAAGTCAACATCTAGCTTCTTGTATTATCTTTGTGTATTTAACTTATGGAAATTCAACTACAGGCAAGTACCCCTTATTTAATCCTGACCTTCTTGCCTCTCTACCCATTCAAAACCAAACTTTTGCTCCTAGCGTCCTTTCTTTCCTTTTTTTTTTTGCCAAGCCCCTATATTTAAATTCATATGCAAGATGATGCTTCATTATCTCTCATTTTTTCTTACTAATCATATTTTATTGCTGAGGAAATGAAAGTACTGCTGAGCAGCAGAAAGATGTTTTGTTTGGCTTTTAGGCCACACATGGCACTTGGATGTCACAGAAAATGCTTTATGCATAAACTGATGAAGTAAATCACGAGAGCTCCACATTTCTCTTTTTGAACCATCAAAACACAGAAAAATGTGTTTGCACTAACTCAATATATGCTGTGTGGGGTAGAGTTGAATGAAAGTTGCATTTGCGTTGCCCACAGAGAGGGGTGTCTAGCAATGTAGTAGTAATGGCTCCCGCAAAAAGGCAGAGTACCAATCAATCTATGAGAACTCTAACCTTATTCTTGTAAATTCTGATTCACAAACAATTGATATCCCATCATCTTGATATGGAAACAAATCCTCCATACCCCTAAAGAATACACTTAGACGATAAATTGTTAGCTCCATTTAAGTTATATACACTTGAAACAAAAAACAGTTTCATACAACTGTGCATTTGTATCTCCTCAAAGCACCCAACAGTGCTTTGCCTGCAGGAAATAGTCAATAAATGGTTATCGAATTTAGACTGTCCTTCTTCCCAATCAGTGAGGTTTAATATATTTCCAATTGGAATGTCTATTAATTTTTCAGCATTAGTAAGCCTTTTAAAAAAATCAATCTGGGGATGTATTTAAGAGTTCACAGCAAATACTAGTACATAAATGATTAAGAAAATACTGGTAAATTAAGCATGCTTATTCAACACACCAGTAGCCACTGATAAAATGTAATTTAATTTAATCATTTAAATTTACATTGTTAATGTACAAGAGCATTAATTTCAAACCACAGGTTAACACATACTAAAGAGCAATGCTGTCTGAGGAGCAGAGGAACTCTGGAAAACTCTGCTGTCTGAAATGAAAGCAAGGCACTCTCCACTGACAGCTGGTGGATTCCTGACTTCCGCCCACAGGAGGCCTGTTCACGCTGAGAGAGCTCTTCCCCAAGGGAGGAATCACCTGCTTTAATTCTTGCTGTCCTCTTCTGAGCTAGTTCGGTCATCCACTCTGTATACACTTGTGTGTCCACATGAAGACAAAAAAAGAGAGTTGAATTGAGAGATGGCGTGGGAGCCTCCCAAGGCTCTCATAGTTGCAATGACTATGGAAGACAGAAGAACACTGGCTATCATCTTTATTTTCAGCACTAAGTGTCTGGGCCTATCACTAAAAATCTTCATTGCTTCCAACCAATCGTCAGCACTAAGTGTCTGGGCCTATCACTAAAAATCTTCTTCATTGCTTCCAACCAATCAATACTACGGTTAAAAGGTCTTTTTCCTTAAATCCGATGGGTGTAAAAATAAAAAGTAACAGCATTTCTCTAGAGCTCTGTGTGTGTGTGTGTTTTTTCTTTTCTTTTTCAGACATGACAAAAAAACAAGGACTGACTTTCCAATACTAATGGTGCACGAAAGGATTATGTATGCACAGTACTTCTAACTCATTCAAATTCAACTTGAATTTGGTCTGAAGCTACCTTATATGAAATGTTAGCTTTCCTGATATCGAATAATGTTTATTATGTTCGCATATAAGCTGAAAAAAATTAATGCAAAAGTACTACTTTACTCGTGGTTATTATTAGGTAAAATGTAAGTATTTCTGGTTAGTTTAAAAAGCCTTTTTTCCTATAGATGCAGTAAGGTGAGTAAAAAGACTATGGAAAAGAGACTTAGGTCCTAGACTTGATTCTGGTACTAGCTCTTTGACCTGGGTAACTCTTTACCCTTTGCTGGGTCCGTTTTCTCCTCTGTGAATTTTGGGGTTGGGGTGGACTAGCTGGCAAGTCAGGCCCCTTCCAAGTATTAACATTCCAAGATCCTAACATTCCAGATGCTATCATCTTGATATAAAAATAATAATCTTTCATAAAAGCTCACACAAACATAATATATGATCAACTATCAGAATGACTCTTGGAAGAAAAACATATATGGTTCGCTATCTGGGTTCCTCTTTGCAGCAGTTAGGCAATTCATTTGGCATTTGTTTGATTGTATAATTTAATGACAATATAAACAGCATAGTTTTGTTACTTTTCCTTTAAAAAGCAAAAATGACTCAGAGCTAACAAAAACTACTGTGACATCAGTTTGACATTCAAAGTTTGTTTCTTAGCAAAATGGCCAAACATATTTTGACTTGATACAGAATATATAATATAAAGACTTTTAGACCTAGAAATCTTCAAACATTATATTTGAATTTAGCAAAACATAAGCAAAATTTTAATATCAAAGTGCTAAACAGTACTGCCTTAAAAGTCACTGCAAATGAACCATAAAATAACCGCATGGGAAGTAACATTTATTGTACAAATGGTTAATAAAAAGACACATTATAAATATATATATGTAACCTGCTATATTTATATATATTTGCTTATTTAATTTCTAGTTGGCGTATCCAAGTCACTGTGAACACCCCATTTAAGTACTCTGTAACTCAGCTTCCAGGAGCTGGTGGTCTTGCAATAAATACAGGCAAAGCTATTACAATATAACGTGCATACAAATGTTTATACAAATAAGAACACTATGCAACAAATCATCTCATAGTAATATGGCATTAACAGTATAAACATACAAAAGGGAGTACGAACACGGAATGTTGAAACGCAGCCCATTAATCCTTCCTAGTACTGACATTCATACTACTTTTTAAAAAATAAGACTTGCTTACTCTCCATAATTGTCTCTGTAACTGATAACAAAAATTAAATTGTATATATTAAAAACCTTATTACCCCTGGTGTTTACCCTGTATGATCCAGTTCCTATTTTTTGCATGTTCTTACCTAGGAACCAAACACTTGAGACTCACTGAACGCGGCTGGGCTTCAGCATGACTGTGTCAGTCAGTTGCTATAACTGAAGGAAGTTTAGGAAACACTGGATGGGTTGATAGAGCACAACCAAAACAGTTGTATGTAATCCATCTTATAATCTGAGCCCCCTTCGGGACAGCTGGACAGTCAGGGCAGGGATCTGGATCCGTAAGAATGGCCCGAAATCTTGGATGGACCATACCTCAGAAGGGGTCTATAGGGCAGGTGGACAAAAACCTCTGCTAGGAAATTAGCACTTGTCCTTTGCTAACTTGCCTCCTTTTTATTTCTGTATAAAATAAAGGAGAGTTAATAGACAAGACTTAGTAAGACAGCACTTTAAAAATTGCACTTGTATATGGAAGCGAACAGCCATTATCATTTTGCTATGTCTGATTTATAGGTTATCGTCCATCTTTCACCATTTGTTAAAATAAAGGAAGAAAGAAATTAAGACGAGGGAATTTCTGCCTTGTTTGCACCACATACGTACCCTTGATACAGGAAGTATATTCTAAAAGCGATCATCTCAAGACAGGTCCTACCCTGGCGAACAACCCTTGGCTGTTCTTGTTTTTAAATACAAAGCAACTGTAATTGTATTCCCCAGAAACAGTTTTCAAACAGTTATATTATTCTTCTTTTTTTTCCCCCTGCTGGGATAGCATCATCCAAAAGTGCTTTGTTAGCAGTTTCTTAGAAAACCCTCATGAACTATAACCCCCCTCCCCACCCCAAACCCAAGCCTAAATATAAAACACAACCCCAACACAATACTCTGCAAGTTTTCTGGCTTTAGGTTGTAAGGAAAAGTGCCAGAAAAAAAAAAAAGTCTTTCATTTTGTCAGGAGCTGCTTTTTCTCTTAAGGAAGGACAGGAATGGTAGGTGTCCAGACCCCTCCCTCTGCTGCGTAGCAAGCAGGCGCTAGCAGATGAGGCGGCTCCCTGCTCAGGCTGCTCCTCTCAGTAAGGCAGGGTGTCCAGGAAGAGCTTGTCGATGATGGAAGGTGGAGACACCAAGTCTTCCAGCTTCAGGTAGAAGATGCGCTGGAGACCCAGGGTGCAGATCTTCCGCAGTTCTACCAGGGCGCCCAGGACCTTGGGCTCCGTGGGCTCCAAGGCCTGTCCCTTACTCTGGTGGTCTTTTAAGCTGCTCGTGATCTTGTTGCATAGCTCCTCCACTCTCTTTGGTTCTTTTAACCCATGTCGTTCTGCAGAGGCATAGAAAAGGACGCGTTTAGGAGGCAGTTCCATCTTAAGAAACTGTGAATCCCTAATCAAGGCCTGTGTCCTGTTCTGCCAGTTGAGATGGCATTTTACAAAGTGCCCTCCCTCTTAGAGGTAGTTCTTTGAATCCCAGTCTGTCACTCACTGTGTGCCCTTGAATAAGTCCTTTAACCTTTCAGCCCTGGTTTCCTTATAAAATGAAGATGATAACATACCTAATTCAGGGTTTCTGGGAAGACCTTGGCCCCAGTTATCTCAGTCAAAGTTTTCATCTCTCAGTACATTTACATGTAGAATAATAATTTGTGAGAGATGAAAAACATCCATCCAGTTGGAAATCACGTTTGAGTTTCTAATTTTCCCAACATTAATGTTTTTAGTTGGGAATATTTTTGTTACAAAAGGTACTTTCTTAAAGCATAAGTCATCAGAAAAATGAAGCAACTCTCCAGACATTTTTTTTTTCTTCCTCTCTTGCCCTAAATTAAAGGAGGCCTGGGGACCAGGAGATCTGCCTTCTTCCCAAGCTTGGCTAGTCGTGTTTGAGTTTTTCCCTTTCTAGGGCCCATCTTAAAAGGAGGAGGTTGGACTTAATGACCTCTAAGGTCCCTTCCAGCTTTGAGGTGTTAAAATTATATTCAGGTCCAACCATGAACATTGCCAGCAGCATCTCAATGGATTGTAAATCTAAGACAATGCCTGACATGTGGCAAATGATATCGTCAAAAACAAAACAAAAAAACCAATAAAGTCCCCTAATTCCCAAGCTTTGCAGTGTATAATTTTGCTTTCTCCAGGAAACTAGCAAATCAGTCGAGAGGCAAATCTGTCCCCATGGTTTACCTTTACTCAACACATGCACTCAAGAGTGAACTTCAAGAGTAATCCAGCCTGCAATAGTGTTCTGCCTCAAAGTTTTATTTGCCCTCCAAAGCAAAAAAAACCAAAACAAAAACAAAAGCAGAGTGCAAATTTGGCAGTATATTTCAAGAGCTATAACATGTTCGTTGTCTCTGACCAAGTAATCCCACTCACGGGAATTTATCTGAAAGAAAAACTCAACAGGAGAATAAAACTATATGCATGAAGATATTTTGGATAAGCATTATCTATTTTAAAAACTAGGAAAAGATAAAGGGTGGAAGAACAGAGGAACCATTAAGTAAAAATAGGATGTCCACGTAATGGAAGGTTCTATAGACACCAGAAAGGACAAATTACTAACGTTACGAAGCAACATGGAAAAAATACATAACATCACATTAGATAGAGAAAAGAATATGAAATGGTCTCTAAGATGTGATTACATCTATGTAAAAATTATTTCTTCATCTAGAGAAGTATGAAAGAAAACGGAAAAGTGAAAATATTTATGAGATTGTCAGATAACTCTTACCTTTTTTTTTTTTTTTAAATTTCCAGGCTAATGTTATTTGTCTAACAAACAATGTTAAAATAGAACAAACGGGGATTCGATCCTTTGTGAAGCCCTCTCCTAGCTGCAACCTGATCACACAATCATCTTGCTGACAGTACATTCTATTAATACTGAGCCGTCTCAAATTAGGTTCAGAGCCCAGAGGGAGGTGCTTCTCCCAGAATAAAATACCAATCCATTGATTTAAGCTTTCCTTTTCCACGCCTCATGTCTTGAATTATATTCAAGATACCATATTCATGATCAGCATAAAGGAACTGAGCGATGTTGATGGCTGGATTTCGGGAGAGAGTTGATTATGGAGCCCTGTACCCAGACTTTCTCATGGCCAAACTCACAAAAGGTGCCTCGGAGTTCTCCCTGCTCTCCAACCAGTGGTGACTGCTCAATAACTATGGCAACCATTATTTATTCAGTGAATTCAAGTGGAGATCGATACCTCCTGCCAGCTGGATCAGCCCTAGGCCTGGAATTCCTTGAGGAATTCAGACACTCCTGTTAGAAGCCAGAGGCACCTCCTTTGTTGTTCTGAACAGCTACTGGATTTGTGGCTTCTTTACTTTTTCAAAAGGGCTGAGACAAAATTCAGTCTCCATGCAAACTACTGCCAGCAGCCAGCAAGGTTTTCAAATCACTAGGGAGTCACTAAGTGTCTAGGCGCTTCCTAGTAATTTGAAATTCCTCAAAACCCCCATCACTGACATTTTAGCTTAAGGGACCCCCTTTCTTCTCGCAGCTTGGTAAACATGGCTGCAGAGCTGATATTCGGAGAGTTCACTAATTCAGGAGGAAATCAGACATTCAAATTTCCCCCTTCCCTAGGAATTATACACAGGTTTTAGTTTAAGATCTTTGTCCACCATTAAACAAAACAAGCTTCTGGGTGTTTCTTGCATTTTGATCTACATCATTTTTATCCAATACTTCAGTCTTCTAACTCAGCTTTATGCAGTCAAAACTTTAAAATACAACTTCTAGAAATGGTTAAGTAACGAATTTATGTGTCAGAACCAAAACAATTTGAGTCATTTAGTTCAAACTCCCACCTCAGATAAGAATCTCCACTACAAGATACTACAGAGAATGCTGGGCACCAGCTGGACTGGGAGTTTACTATTTCGCCTGATAACCAAAATACAGGGGTGAACAAAAGTAGGTTTACAGTTGTTCGTATGGAAAATAATGAAATAATAAATAATAATACAAGAATAAACTCTCTTTTGCATACTCACAACCGTAAACCTACTTTTGCCCGCCCCTGTAGATTTGAAAGCACTTTCTACAACACTTTTACCTAGATTATTTTATCACACCCTCACAATAACCCTTTGAATTAGGCAGGACACACATAATCTTTATTTAATAGATCAGGTAAGGCTCAGGGAGTTAAGTTACTTGCCCATGGTCAAAATGAACAAGTGGTTAATTTCTTTCACTCCAAGTCCAGAAATACCAGGCTGCCTTGAACATTATGTTAGAATGTCCCTCCTCGTTCAGCCTCCCTGTAACTCCCTCCTACACTTTGTGTACCTCATTAACTAATTGATTAATTACTTCTTTCAACAAATATTTATGGAGGACTTATTTATAGCCACTGGGGTCAGAGCAGTGAACAAAACAGACCACAGATCACACTTCTAACCTGTATGGTACCTAAGGACACTGCTGGATTACTGGGGATTTAGCTATCCGTGCCACAGACATCTCTGCTAAGAGAGAGAAGAAGGGGAGGCACGGAAGAAGAGGAGAGAGAGAGGAGAGAGATTTTAACTTCACCTAGTGAAAATCTACTCATTCTTAAATCACAGATCCCATTTTTTTCAAGGAAGTTTTTCCCTTTTACTCTCAGTCTAGATTATTTTTTCTATTTTTTTTTCTCTGAAGGATAGACAGGTAGAAATCAGACATTTATGTGACTATTACCTGCCTCCTCCTTTAAATGTAAGCTCCATGGGGGCACGGACTGTGTTTGCTCACGGTCGCATCTCCAGCACCAAGCCTACTGCATGGGAGACACCAGAAGCACAGAGACCAGGCCCCACAGTGGATTCACTCTCATGCTCACTCCAGGACATACAGTCATTGAGTACAATAGCCTGTCCTCTTTTTCTCTTCTTGCTATGAAATTTTATATGTGGTTTAACAAATGTTCAAAGCAATTTCCACTTTTCCCCAAAATGTGCTGAAATGTTCCACTTTCATGACCTTGTTATGCTGTTCCCTTGGTTTGCAATGTCCTTCCTCTAGATCTTGCCATGTCTAGAAACCACCTCCTTGGGAAGCCATTCATGATCAGCACCTCCAACTTTCTACACCCCCAAAATGTTAGCAGTAATCTGGACTTCCCCTGCACTGACTCTGTCCCTTTTAAGGACCTGAGCACTAACCACCATAAATGAGTTCATTGCATCATAATCAGATATGACTTCCTAGTAACCTATATACTTTCTGACAGCAGAATTCATGCATGGCTCATCTTAGCATCCCTGGAGACTGACACTGTGCCTGAAATATAGACAGCACTCAATATTTGTTTAATGAATGGATACTTATAAACTGACAATTTCACACAAACTTTTTATTTGGGGGGGCTTCTTATTTGCTAATCACAATGAACTGCAACCAGATATCACCTCATTGGTATCCCATCAGAAGCTAAGCACTTTCATTACTCCTGGGACAGGGATATGGCACTGGCAAAAAGGAATGGGTAGGGTAGATGAACTGGGACCTAAAAACATTTCACAACCACAACTGTGGGGAACTCCCTTTTACTGTACGGAGGAAGAGTGATCTGAAAGAAACCATTTCCTGCCCCACCTCACCACCAGTCACATAGAGAGAGGTGGAGGAAGAAGAAGAAAAAGAAAAAAAGAGCCATGTTTGTACAAACTAGCAATACTGTCCATATTTGTAATTTTCCTGGAAGCAAGATGGGTTTGACTTTTAAGATCCCATTTCCTTTCATGAGTTCACTGTGGTTTAGGAACAGACAATTTTGGGTTGTCTGCTTTCTGATGCCAATAGCCCAACTGATATCCCACAATCACCCTTTTTGATCAATGGAGTTCATTCAGAAGTCAAGATTTCACGGGAGCCCATATTCAAATGAAATTAATATCCACAACAAGACACACTGCTGTTTCCCAGGCATTGTCTTTGCTGCCACTTCCTGATGCTTTCACACATTTCAAACTCCTTCCCAAACAGCAAATCACAAAAAGATTACTGTCAGGTTCAGAAATGAGAGCAGGGGGACTTATGTTATAACCACAGCACCTAAAACAACCTGCCCTGCACAGGCTGGCAGGGCTGCGGGCAGGACCTGGAACTCCACCATAAAAGACTTGGCCTCTTTTAAGTGCAGCTTAATTACTTTAATATTACTGTCCTTTTTTGAGCCTCTCTCAAACATCCAAGGAGAAATTCACCAAACACACTGCCTTCGAAAGCCACCACCAGTTTCCTCGTGTCACTGAGACTGATTTTTGGACCCCAAAGGGAAGGGACAGGCATATGCCTATTTGAGGGAGTCCCTGTCACCATCCCTCCAGGATGGAACACAGGTGGATCGACTGCCTATTCTGAATTCAGTTTGGCTGCATCACAAACCTAATTTTACATAATCCTTACTGCTGCCTCATGGAATACATGTTGCTTTCCCCATTTTACAGATGGGGAAACTGAGGTTCAGAGAAATAAAGTATATTACTCAATGGCACCTACTTATTAAATAGGGGATCCCAGATTAAAACCTGGGGGAGGTGCTGGATCCCAAAGTCCATGCTATATCTGCCATAACAGGCTGGTATGAGCTCCCTCCTTCCTGAGCAAGTCTCCACACAATGGGCAGCAGGCTGAGCAGCCATAACCACAGGACACACAGCAAAGTGCAGGCAGAGACAGGACTGGCACCACCTTCTCCTAATCCAGTGATGGCGAACCTTTTGAGCTCGGCGTGTCAGCATTTTGAAAACCCTAACTTAACTCTGGTGCCGTGTCACATATAGAAATTTTTTGATATTTGCAACCATAGTAAACAAAGATTTATATTTTTGATATTTATTTTATATATTTAAATGCCATTTAACAAAGAAAAATCAACCAAAAAAATGAGTTCGCGTGTCACCTCTGACATGCGTGTCATAGGTTCGCCATCACTGTCTAATCCCTACTCTGTATTCTCAGCACTGAACTGTCCAATGTTCTCCAGGTTGGGACTTCCTGGCCTCACAGTTGTCTACTAATATTTACTTAAAGAGTAAAACAAACAAACAAAAAAAGACATAGACTTCAGGCCCGCCTCTTAAACTACAGCTCTCACACCTGGACTGGCCTTTTCCCTTGGAGTCTCTTTTCTGCTACAATTTGTGCTCAAAACCCACTGCCAGAGCAGATCGTTCTAAAGTGCAAGCTTTCACATGATGCTGCTCTGGTCAAAACTTTCCTGTGGCTCCCCACCGCTCTCAAGATCAACTCCAACCTTCTCACCTAGGCGTGAAAGGTTCTTCATGTCCCACCCCTCCCTTACCTAGCATGGCAGTCTCATTTCCCATAACTCTCCTCTTTTTAGAGATTTCCATCCTGGAACTTATAACAGCCATAGTTTCAATGGCTTTAGCAAATTTTTATTTGTGCCTAGAAATCATGCTCCTTCCATTTTAGTTTGGCGATATCGTATCCTCTTTTGAGAAGACCTCATGTTACCTCTTTTGAGAGACCACCCCCCACCTTTGGTCTCTCAGCACTTTGTACCCACTCCCTCATCCCCCCCCACGGCACTCAATACCTTGTACCACATGCATCATCTCTGAAAACCCACTGACATGCCCGAGTGCCTAGATCAGCGAACACTTGTTGATTAACTACAGAGATTTGCTGATTTCCATAGAGACGTGGCAATGCACTGGGTGTATTTACAGAAAGCCAAGGCTGACTCTAGATGTTGTTTCTGTGTGTTTTTTTCTTAATTAACTAAAATCCATACTCCCCAGTTTTGAATGTTTAACTGTCCTAGGAAGAGCTGAATGGTTTTGAAACTGAGCTGAAGAGCTTTAGTTGAGAGACAGCCTTTGAACCCATTTCATTGCAGTCCTGCTGGAGTGATATGCTTGTCCTTGAATGTGCTTATTTTTCTTCGGGTGCCCCCGTATGCCATTTGAAAGTCCTTTAAATGGAGTCCATAGCCTTTAAGACTGCCTTTATTTTTGTTGTGTTAAGGTCTCCCTTGGAAATCTCTGTCAGGTCCCATCAAAAGAAGGGAGTTTCTCAGCCAAGACCAAAGACCACCAGGAGGAGGTGAAGTTCCACTTGGAATACCGAGGGGACAAGCTAGTGTCTGATTCCTACTGTAGCACATGCCATTTAATTGTCTTTGCCTCCATGTAAATCGTTCAGTGATGAACCAGCCTAGCATCTTAGGGTACTCAGACATATCTCACATTGGCTAACAGTGAGGTCCCAAGAAGGTGCATGGAAACAATGCACATCTCTGATGATCAGGAAGAAGGGCCCATCTTGCCAAAGGATGCATTTGGTCCCCTGTGAAACTCATCACCTGCCTGAAAAGCATGTTTTCTACAGTCAAGAGGGTATCGGATCTGAACCTCAATTCTTAGTCCAATAGCCTAGGCCAGTGGTCGGCAAACTCATTAGTCAACAGAGCCAAATATCAACAGTACAACGATTGAAATCTCTTTTGAGAGCCAAATTTTTTAAACTTAAACTATATAGGTAGGTACATTGTTATTAACTTAATTAGGGTACTCCTAAGGCTTAGGAAGAGCCACACTCAAGGGGCCAAAGAGCCGCATGTGGCTCTTGAGCCACAGTTTGCCGACCACGGGCCTAGGCTGTGCTTCAGTCTGATGAAAAGAATGGGAGGTGAGCCCCAGGTGTGGCTAGCCTCTTAGGGAGCCTCCACTTGTCACTGCCTCAGCAGGCCCCAGTCTGGCCAAGAAGGATGAGATCACACTGGAAACTCTGAAAGTATCAAGACACAAAGGGAGCTGGGGCCTTGGGTCTCAGGACCAGCCCCAGGAAAATAAAATCTCCTCTCTTACCCGATATGCCTTCCTAGTCCCCTCTCCCTCTCCCTCTCCCTCTCCTTCTCCTTTTCCCTTTCCCTTTCCCTCTCTACCTCTCATTCCATCTTGGTGCCATTTATGTCCCAAAAGATAGAAAGAGAGAGAGACATCTAATGACAGAAAGGCATAATATAGAAATTGAATAAGTATTATGCTCCTGTTTCTTAACTTTTAAAAATTATTGAGTTGAGCCATTTTTTGCTGTTTACAAGTATCCATTCTCTCACTCCCCTGCCAATCAGAGTTGTAAATCAATAAATAAAGGTGTGTTTTATATGTGTAGTTCTTTGGTTTTACTTTAGGTCGATAGCCAAGGACTGGGGAGAGGGGAAGACTTGCCCTCAGTCCCACAGGAGCAGGCTGGCTAAGCTAATTTTCCTTAGAAACCCTTGTGAAGATAACCCTGAAGCAGTAGTGCAACTCTCAACAGAGCGCCTGTGGAAATTTAGATGTTCCTATATTGGGCTTGTTGACAATGATAACTCAATAGGAACCCTCTCTACCTGGAGGTTCATGACAACAAGCTGCAGATATACGTCTCTTGTTTAAATTAAGTAAAATGTCGCAGATTTCAGAACAGTGGCAGTCATTTTCCTAATTTTCTGGTGTGTATGACAGCCGAAGCCAGACTCCACCTTAACACAAGAAAAGAGAGAAAGGAGGATGTGGTAGCTTTGGGTGACAGCAGGGTGGTGCTTACCTGTGATCATGCTCAGTGCTGACAGGCATGCTAAGGCTTGGATATCAAGGTTCAGGCTCTGCAAACTTAAGGAAAAGTCTTTAATGGAGTCGAGCCACTCCCCAAATCCACGAAGGCACTGAAGTCGGTGCAGGACAAGTCCATTGCAGAACACAAACTTATCTTCAGCAGTGTTTGACCTACCAGAGAAAGTCATGGGGGGGTTAGGGGGTAGAAACACATTAAATAGGTCTGTTCAGTCTATCCAATGGGATAACATCATAATGCACGGCCCCCAGACAGTGTTCAGAACCCAGTGTGGTGCTGTCAAACCTGCCCAAACACCCTTGATGAACACCCACCACCACTTGTCTGTGCTAACTTCCTGAGTGAGCACCAATCCCTGGGGAAGCTGCCAGGCCCTGTTGTGGGCTCACCTGCTTTCCACAGTGGGCCTCAGAGGGCTATTTCTAAATCTGTCCTGAGAGTGTATATCAGTCCATAAGTATCCCATACTTCTCTCATGAAAGGTGCCCTGGAACTTCTAGTTGAACATCACCACTCAGCCGGGGGGCTCTGGGCGCTCCTTTACTCTCTCTGGGTTTCCTTTTCCTTATGTATTAATAGGAGTTCTAATGGCTACCTTCTAAGATCGTTGTGGGAATTAATAAAATACAGGATCTGAAATCATGCACAATGCCTGGTATACAAGAGGAGTCTTAGGTGTAATTAATTCTGAATTCTATGTGGTCCTATCTTTAACCTTAGCCTTCCTTTAATTTTCAAATTGCTTTCCACATATTTATCTCTTTCAGCCTACTGCACTAACAAGTTAATATCTATCACTATGTTTCTTGGATGCATAGTTTCATTCATTCATTCACTAGTCAAGTATTTCTTGTGCACCACGTATGTGCCATTCCTAGAGCCAGGCACTGGAGGAAACTTGGTGACTAGAGCATGCATAGTGCTTGCCCACATGGAGTTAATCATTTACTTAATCCTATGCTGCCTGCCTAACAGATGATAGTCACATCGTTGGCTTGGCTCCTTTGTATAGCAGATTAGCTGTAATGATGCTAATTACTGGCACTCCAGTTGTAATTCCCCCTGTCTCTCCCACAGATCCCTCCACAGAGGTACACAAGGACCTCTCAATCTCAGAGTTTAAAACCTGGACCTCAGACCACTGGCATCAGAATCACTGGAGCATGAGTTAAAATGCAGATTTGTGGGCTTCTTCTAAGAGAAACCAATATAGCTGGGAATGAGGCATGGGAATCTGCACTTTAAACAAGGATTTCTGCTAACACAATATGAAATTGGAGGGGAGGGTAAGGAAGAGAATGAGGGGGAAGGGACATTCTTTCTCTATAATATTTGGTGAAATGTTGGTACCATCTCCTAAAATTACATAATGGCAAGGAAGCAAGGAATCTAAAATGTTACTCATGCTGAGATTCCAGGTCCCAGCTTTTTGGAAAAGAACTTCCGCTTGTGTTCAGTGTCACTGAGCATGAAAGGTTGAACCAAATCTTTTGATCTAGGAGCTATTCTCTTGGAGTAAACACTGGGGGTTGAGAGGCAGTGGGAACTCTTTAGAGCTCCATCTGGTGTACTAGAACAGTGACTTGTAAATAGAAACCCATGAGGTAAATGCAATGTTCTCAACAAATACGTGCTCCCAGGAAATACCTTACGCACCATGGGACTCTATAGAATCCCAGAGTGTTGGCATTACAAGGAGCTTCAGATATCACCAAACCCAACCTCCTCATTTTACAAAGAAGGAAACTGAACTTCCGATGAGGCAAGGGACCTGCTCAGGGTCGTACAGCAAATCCATATTAGAACTGAGGGTAGAACCCAGGAGTCCTGGCTTCCAATCCAATGCACTACCCACTACTCAGCTTTTTAATGCCTGATCATATTTGATATTTCCTTCCTGAGCAACCTTCTCTCTGATGACTCATTTGCAAACACAGCAGGTTTCAAAGTTCTTCAAAGGAAGGAGTGAACTGAAGGTAGATAAAATAATAGTAATTACCTGATGGAAAGTCTGAGAACAAACAGCTCCAAAAAGGCTGATTCTATAAGTAATGTCTGATCTTCTTTGGGGAGATCAGTAAATCCAGGGATCTTTTCTGCCCAGCTTCTGGATACGTCAATGGAGGCTGTCAGAAGGTTGTAGAACTGTTGTACATGCTCAGCATCTGTGCCTGCAGCGGCCTGGTCAGAGGGACAGTACTAGAATGCAAACCACAGGCAGCAGCATTATCTCAGTTCAACGGGGATGACAGCATCATTTGCAAATGGGCTCTCCCACGGCTGTCTAGACCTGAATCCTTACTCTCAGGTCCCACAGTTGATAAAACCCGTTGCATTCACAGTCTCATCTGATTCTCACATGGCCCCATGATATAGCGTGAAGGTTGTTACCATTTAATAGACAAAGAAATTTGCTGAAGTCCCATCAGTGCAGTGGTTTTCAGTGCTGACTGCAATCATCTGGGGAGCTTTAAAAACACTCATGTCTGGGTCATCGCCACAGAGATTCTAATTTAACTGGCCTGGGTTGAGGACTGATCATTGGTGATTCCCAAGGGCAGCCAGTGTTGAGAACCAATATCTCAGGGGTTTGTGTCTGAGTGAACCTCCAGCATCTATTGACTCCACTAAAGTACAGCTGCCTCCAAACAAGATACTTAATTAATCCATGGTTCTCAAAGTGTGGTCCCTGCACCAGCAGCATCAGCAACACCAGGGAATGTGCCAGACAGAACTAAGGAAGAGGAGAAGAGAATGATTTTCGCTTGCTGTAGATAGATTTCTGTGAGAGAGACAAACCAGGAAGAGGAGCAGGGAGGGTGTCTCAGTGGCAGAGCCCAGGCACTGTGTGCCATCAGACTCAGGACTGTGGCTACTTAAATTAATGAAGTTAAAATAAAAATTCAGTTCCTCAGTCACACCAGCCACATTTCAAGCTCCACAGCCACATGCGATAGAGAACATTTCCATCACTGCCAAACATTCTATTGAACAGAATTGATCTAGAAAGTCCCAGGAGAAGAAAGATACAAGTAGGAATAAAGTCTCTACCCAGCTTTTGGCTATTCTGGTAGAGTCAGGGTTTTGCCTGAATCACCGGAAGACAATCTTTCCTACTTCAGGCAAAAAGATTGATACAGCAAGGTAATCATCAAGGGACAATAAACAGCACAGACAGATCTGCACAACACGCATGTAAATATGCACATCATTTCCTTCGCACTAAGAGCTGCGGGTGCTTTTGCATCCCTTCTCTAGGTTAATCCTCCTGGGGTATGGATTTTAATTCTCCTTTTATAAATGAGGAAACTGAGGCCCAGAGAAGCTCACTCGCACTAAGAGCTGCGGGTGCTTTTGCATCCCTTCTCCTGGGGTATGGATTTTAATTCTCCTTTTACAAATGAGGAAACTGAGGTCCAGAGAAGCTCAGAGAGTCTGAGAGTTTCCAACAGTGGTATAGCCAAGACTTCCACGTGGCCTTGTGGTTTCCAGTCCCAGCTGTTAATATGCCTGATGTTACTAGCTGGTAGCCCATGGTATAGTTTTAAGAAAGCATTTTATTTTGCTCTAATTGGAGGTCTCCAGGTATGCATTCATTTGGTCCCATGTTTTGTCAGCAGCACAGTGACTGGCACCTGATTGACTCTCAATCAGTAGTTGTTGAATACTCTTCGATGAAAGAAGAGTCAAGGGAGCGCCTAGACTTGCCACAATCTAGTGGTCGGCAAACTCATTAGTCAACAGAGCCAAATATCAACAGTACAACGATTGAAATTTCTTTTGAGAGCCAAATTTTTAAAACTTAAACTATATAGGTAGGTCCATTGTTATTAACTTGATTTGGGTACTCCTAAGGCTTAGGAAGAGCCACACTCAAGGGGCCAAAGAGCCGCATGTGGCTCTTGAGCCGCAGTTTGCCGACCACGGCGAATCAGCCAATAAGCAGCCAGGTCCTTATTGTAGAACTACTTAGGTATGAGGAAATGAGGCACTTGTCTTAATTGGACTCCCCCCACCCCCACCCCACACACCCTTTTGTGCTTTCCCAAGAGGCATCATGAAGTAACAAAAGAAACATCGGACAAAGGAGCCAAACTACTGTAATCCTTGATTTGTCCAGGCCCCTTATTTGTGAAGCAGTGTAGCTTTGCTGCCTACTTTAGTTATCTGGGGCAAATGACTTCGCTTTTCTGAGCGTCAGTTTTCCCCTCTGTAAAATGGGGACAATGCCTTCCTCAATATTTTGTTGGGATGATCAAATGTGATAATATATGTGAAAGGCCTGACACATGGAACACGTTTCACAAACGATGACAGGGATGCTACTGATAACGGTTTTGATGCTTGACACTCTCACTGTCCCTCAGCCTCCACACTTATAAAATGGGAGAAGGTTTCTCCTTTTCAGCCCTGACTATCTAGGATCCTGTGACATCAGGTCCAGTTCAGAGCCCTGGGTCATCCCACTCAGTGCCCAGACTCTATGAAGCCCTGGATGGGCTTTTGTAATGGGTTCAATGAACCACGGGAGAAAGAACCAGTCTTCCTTCCTATGGATAGTCAAGGATGGCAGCCTGATCCTGGTGCCGGGTACTTCCCACCACCTCCTTTCAGTTCACACTCCCTATATTCACTGCAGGAGAGTGGGAAAGGGGATTTTATTTTACTTTCTTACTTTCTCCTCTGATATTAACCTAATTCCACATGCTCTCCAAGGGCAGGATGAAAATCAGGGCAGGACCACCGTTAGAAAGCTGACAGCGCTACATGTGAAACTCCCGAACGAGTGATAACATGGAGCAGAGGCAGCAGATCATGGGGTCCTCCTCCAGGCTCAGGCACTGACTTGCTGTGCAGCCCTAGACAAGTCACTTCACTTCTCTGGGCCTGTTTCTGCCTCTGAAGTAGGAAGTGACTGCCCTAGCTGACCCCTAAGATTCCTTCTGCCTCTTGCATGCAGCCATTTTTCTATTATTGATTTCTAGTTTAATTCCATTGTGGCTTGACGGCAGACATTGTGTGATTTCTTTTCTTTCTTTTTTAATTGTTAAGGTGTGTTTTATGGCCCAAACTATCAGCAACCTGGTGAATGTTCCATGTGCTGGCTCTTGCATTCAATGATTCTAAATGCAGCTAATCACACAGGTATGAAGTTATTGCCTAGAATTTTTTTTTATTGATTAAGGCAGCGGTTCTCAACCTGTGGGTCGTGACCCCTTTGGCGGTCGAACGACCCTTTCACAGGGGTCGCCTAAGACCATCCTGCATATCAGATATTTACATTACGATTCATAACAGTAGCAACATTACAGTTATGAAGTAGCAACGAAAATAATTTTATGGTTGGGTCACAGCATGAGGAACTGTATTTAAAGGGCCAGAAGGTTGAGAACCACTGGATTAAGGTATTACATATGTGTCCTTATCCCTCCATTGCCCCTCTACTCCCCCACCCCTGCCCTCAACCCCTGGTGTCTGTGTCCATTGGTTAGGCTTATATGTATTGCCTAGAATTTGACCTTGATTCAGCATTGTTTTGTTTTAAAACAGTGAGTAAAATGGAGAGAAAAAGACTAAAGAATGCAAACTTCTTCCTGGGCATGGGACCTAACAGCTCCCTCTTGCACTGACTTCCCTGAAACCATGGCTCACAACTCAATAATCTCTGTGCTTCCAATATTTGCTCACCATCCTCCAGAGCACTTAGCTTTCACCCAGGGTCCCCTGCAGGCCTCTGCCCCTGCTGGGCTCACATTTCACGCATCCTGCACACAGGGAAATGCAGCCCCTGCCTGCCCTGCGTGTGCAGTTTTCCCTGATGAGGCCCAGCAAGCAGAAAAGCCAGCGGGCCTGGCATGCGAGGCTCCAGCCAGACCCTCTGGGCTTCACCTGCAGTGATTCTAGTCCAGTATTCTGGAGCCAAACTGGACCAGTAACTTGGGGGTGAATGGAGGGTCAGCATCCAATGCTGAGGGAAAAGACAAACCAAGTATCCCCTCTACTGAATATAAGACTTAGAGAAACATAACAAAACATTTTAGATTTTTTTCTCTGCCTGGCCTAGCACTTTATAAAAACTTAATCAAGGAATACTGGACCTGGAGTTGGAAGAACCAGATCCCCATTTCTGCTTGTGTGCTCCCCTGCATTACTCTCTCAGGGCCAAACAGGTCTGGGGTTCACCAAAGGAAATTTAGAAATATTTGTTTATTGACCAAACATAGGTCAAATAGAGAAAGACTTTAGAAATGAATCCTAACTTTTTATTCTAGTCTATATGGATAATTGATCCATTAAAAATCTTTAGCTGTAGCCCGTTTGGCTCTGGATAGAGTGGAACTTTTTATTCTAGTCTATATGGATAATTGATCCATCAAAAATCTTTAGCTGTAGCCAGTTTGGCTCTGGATAGAGTGGCCCGGGTTTGATTACTGCCAAGGGCACATGCCTGGGTTGCGGGCTCCATCCCCAGTGGGGGGGTGTGCAGGAGGCAGCCAATCAATGATTCTCTCTCATCATTGATGTTTCCCTCTCCCTTTTTGAAATCAATAAAAAACTATTTTTAAAAATCAGGCTTTACAACTAGTCAAAGATACAGTATTACATTTATTGACATCTAATGGTGATTTCACCAAAGCACCTGGAATGAGAATCTAGAGCTACAAACAACAATGAAAGCTATTTAAACTGAAATGAGTCTACATATTTTATATGGCAATCATGTGGCTACACAGGTCAGATGTGAGGCAGAGCCTAGGCTTAAAATGAATTATTTGAATGGGAGCACCAGCCCTAAAAAAATTAGTGATATGATGCTGTCATAGCAATGTGGAATCTGGCATTTACTCTGTCTCACTTATCAGTCCAGGCTAAACATGTAAAATATCCTAAGAACATTTCATCTCCCCTTACAATGTTACTTTTCCCTGGGTCTTTATATATTTTAGATGTGATCACTCTAGAAGCCAAACTATATATACATATTCTTAGGTTCTTACACTTTAAAAATTGGCAGTGAATATATTTCCCCCCATATTTATTCCTTTCTTATCCATTTAACTCCCCTTAAAACAAAACCAGAAACAAATAAACTGTCTTCCCTGCCCCCCCCGCCCCCCATGGCATCACAGTTATTTGGTTACTTTCTCTTTCCTTCATGAAGGTAGGAGCATTTTTTTGTTTGTTTGTTTTTTAATCCT